AAGATGATGATGTGCTGTTGGGAAGATCTTGAAAATAGCAGCAGTAATTGCAGAATCTGAGTTACTGAAAATAATACTAGATTCATATATGGGGTTTCTTTTTTGAAAATATTTCAAAAACTAAACAAAAGAATGTATAGATTTATTAGGCAGTAATGCTTGGGCCACCAAACTACTTCTAGTATGATTCTCAATCACAATTACTAAAGCCAATGGTCATTGATAGTGGTTAGTTTTACATGTAGTATTCAGCAAACAAATATTACTAAACCTTGATAATAACTGAACTTGTTCATCAGATTGCCAAAAAAGACCCATAAGTTTATTACCAATATTATCTATAATAGATTCAACTATACAGCCATGATCTAATTTTTGTTGTTGTATAAGATGATTCAACAAGTTAGAGACATTATTTTTAAGGCTTTGATGCATTTCTTTAAGTCAACTTATTAGATTATACACACTTCGTGGTTTAATAAAATAGTCAGGGTGTTTATTTTTAAGTAAATAAATTATTTTAATAGATTGAACATGATATTGGTAATACAATTCAACTTTATTAATCATTTTCTCAGTTAATCAATGATACTTTGGTGTATTTTTTTTAATATTATTGTTTATAGAATAATTATGAATTGAATCTATATCAATTAAAGAGTATCTAATAGCTGATGCTATATTACCCATTAAGAAATTACAATGCCATTTGCAATTAGTAGTGATCGTATTGCAATTATGCTAGTTATCAGAATCAATATTTTTTTAGATTGCTGTTGTCCAGACCGATAATATACCCAAGTAGTATTCTAAACAGAACTATCTTTACATATACAGATATGCTCTTTTCTAACTGCAAAACCACATTCTATGGTATATTTGTCAAGTTTTTTTCTAATCTCATCAAAGATATTAAATAGGTCATTTACTTTTATATGAAATAAAATTTTTTTTTGACTATTAATATCACAACTATTAGTTTCATCTTCATTATCAGAATCTGATGATTCAAGTGAAGTAAAATCCATATCTTGTAAAATTTGTTCATTATCTGAATATACTTCATATTGAATATTTGAGAGTAGTAAGCATAATTCTTCATATAATAGATTTGATTTCAAGATGCAATTATTCGAATATTGATCCTAAAAAAAAAGCAATTTTAAACTATTAATAATATTTCTTAAAACTAATACTAACTAAGCTTTCTACTAATCTGAGAAAAATCTGAATCAATACTATTGGGAGAATTTAAATCAGTGCTTTCTGAAAAACCAACCTTAACAGTATATTCACTAAGAGACTGGCAGGTCTTAAAAAATAGTAAGTTAGTTTATCATTATATAATGTCTCTTGATAAACTAACTTTAACTAATACATTACTAACTTGAGTTAGGTTTAAGCCAATGTAGAGATCCATTATAATATAACAATTGTCTGAGAACAGATGGATGTAATTGTCTAGAGACAGATAGATATAATCGTCTGAGAATGGCTAAACATAATCATCTGAAGACCGATAGGTCTTAATAAAAGAATAAAATTAACCTAATACTTAGTATATTGTTTGATAACAGTTTTAATTGGCTTTTAGCTAATCTGAGATAGCTTTGATTCAATGCTTTCTGATGAATTAATTGCAACATAATATTCAGTAGAAGACCAATAGGTCTTTTAAAGCGTAAGTTAGTTTAATATCCACCAACATAGAATTTATTTCAACTAACAATTTACCAACCTGGAACAGGGTTTGAATTAACATTGTAAGAAAAATCAAATATCATTAAAAGAACTGATGAGAGTTAAAGTCAAAAAAAAAACCTTGTCATCATTCATCTGTTCGTAAAACACTATAATTGATATAAAAAAGAAAATCGTGATTCAAATTTTGTGTTATTCAACTTTTATTGGCTAACTCAGAATTACGTAGCAGGCCTATTTGTACCATGTGATTAAATTTTATTAAGTGGTTAATGTTAACCAGTAGTATACAGAATAATAATTCTTTTAAATTATATAATTTACAATATAATTTTTTATATCAGTTATAAATTCTTTATTAAATTTTAAAGATGCACAATTATCAGTTTGTATAGCTGTTGCTTGTTTTATTCTATTAGTCACTGTAGCTGGTACTGTGATTTCTGATATTTATCAAATTTATGATGATACAGAATTTAATAATGATATTTATTATTAATAACAAACTAAATTATGGTAGCAAACTCTGGCTTATATATATTAGAAAGAAGCCTAGTAGGAAATGAAAAAAATTTTTATGAGTAATAATGGAAGATCAAAAAAAATCATTTTGCTATCAAAAATTTTTAACAATTTTGTGAAATTAAAAGAATTTGTTAAACATGTATCAAAACTTGGTTATAGATTAAAATTTTTATACGTATCAGAAATTAAAGCAAAATTTAAAATTTTAATCAAAGTCTATAATACTTCTATAAATGATTTACAATTTAATATGACAATTGATAAAATAAATACTGTAGTATAGATAAGTTTAAAAAAGTATATAATTAGCATTAATATTATTTTGAATACTATTATATATAATACAATTATACTAATATAATGATTTATTTATTTAGATTCTTAATGAACTTGATATTGAAGATAGATTAAATATAATATATTATGAACTCAATACATAAATTATCAAAAATTCAAATCTTTTAAACAGTTAAATAATCAATATAAAGATTTTTAGATAAGTTATCTAAAAATATTTGAAAAATCATATGAGTCTTAACAATAATTTAAATAATATACAAAGCATCTCAGATATTATTAAAAATTATAGATTAAATTTACAGTATATCATCTTATATAACTACACAACAGATTGAAATAATTAAGAACTATGAAATATATATAAAGAACTATAGATAATATAGATATGATAGCTTAAAATATATCTAATTTAAAATCTAAAATAACTAACTTAGATACTCAAATATCTAATATTTATACACATTCTTCAGAAAAATGCTTCAAAGCAGAGACTACAGTAAATTAAACTTAGGATACTTTGAACAAAGAAGTCTACAATACCAAAAGTAAACTTAGACATATAATTTTATATTGAAAATAAAATATTTAATGAGATAAAAACTATAACAGATATAGCAGATCAGATTTATTAAATTTGCAAAGATTTAAACTATAATAAAAATATTTGTTTTAAACAAGCTATTATAGTAAAATTTAATTTAGAAAAAATCATAAATAAAAAGAAGGATAAAAAGTATTTATTCTAAAATAAGCATTATTTAGCTTTTAAAATTTAAAATTGGTTTATCAAATATTCTGAAATTTATTTTTAAATTATTAGATACAAAGAGTATCAACTTATAGCTTTACTTTTTCAAGCTACTGTGTATAATGTCTTAGCTCTCACTTTAGACTAAAAATGATTTATAATATCATGAGGTCAAAGTACTGCTATATCTTTAACTAATGGTGCAGTAAACTTTACAAGGTACAATTCATATGCTTTGAATACTTTTATAGAATTAAACAAGTTGGATCATGAGAAATCAGCCTTATTATATAAATGTAGCTATCTTTGTGCTTGTTAACTGAAATATTAAAAGGGTATGAACTGGTTTCATTTAGAAAACAAATAGCCAACAGCTTATTTTGTTTGTTCGTTATGAACTTATAAGAAGAAGAAAATTCAACAGAATAACTATTCAAGGCAGAATAAACATTTTCATGTTAGTAAAAGCTATACTAATCTGTAATTTTATATGACATGGTATTTGTTATAAGGATTATTATTACAATTCTTATGCTTTAACAATTATTGACTATATTATAATTATATTCAAATCATCAAAACAGCTTAAATCATAGTTTTAATTATTTTTGACCCTTATTTATAATCTGTAAATTTCTCTTCAAAAATTTTGATATTAAGGCCAATTCATAATATTGTATATCTTTTAGCTGGAATACATATAAGCAAAACAAAAGAAAAAATTCCTGCTAATATTAGTTAAAACTATTTATATTTTTTAGCTACGATATGATAATTGTTTATGACAAAGATTTTCAAAAAAAAATTGGTAGTATGTCTATTGAATCAATTCCTTGAACATTTTCTTTAGTAATAATTTACTATATAGTAATCTGTACCTGATATAATTTTGACTAATTAGTGTTCGAAATACCACAATATGTAGTAAGAACTATATATATGACCGAAACTTTTAACAGTTTTGACGAAACTGAAAGTGATTCAAAACTTATACCGAAACCCAAAACCCTTGCTGAAATCCAAAATTTAGCTAAAATTTATTTTCATAAAATTGAAGCTCAGAAGTGAATGTTTTTTAAGTTGTCAGTGCATTAAACCTATTCCTGAAAAATATATATATTTATTTAACCACACACAGTACAATATGTTTTAGTCGTTTCTGAAAATATATGCAACATAACGAATCTAGGTTTATTTCATTATTTTACTTAATTTCTATTGTTATTTGTTAATAAAATAATAATATTGATTTAATAAATTTGGCAGGTTCTTGAGTTTAACACTATTAAATGAAATAGGACATATATTTAGTTTTGGCCATTATCTCAAATAAAGTAGAAATTCAATTCTTAAACTCAAACTATATAATGATATCATCATTTCAAATCAGACAATGTTACCGCTTCTCATTGCTATCAGCTGCTCTAGGCTATTATATTTAAATTAATCACTTGAAAAAAAGTGATTTGATTGAATATTAAAGAATTTGGTATGGTACCAAAATTAAGATTTAAAAAAAACTAATAAAAAAAATAAATAGACCAAAATATGTCTTTAACTCCTCTTATGACTGCTCTTCTTCATGTCCAGTACCATCTGTCATTTAGAAATAAATTATAAATTATTGGAACTGAAATTGCTAAGGGGCATGTCAGATATTAGTTGATAATTTATTATAAAGTTTACTTCCTTAATGAGATATTTAGTCCATTCAAATTGGTTATATGAACACCTAAGTACACCTTTAAGCGCACATTTCACTTTATAAGTGCAGTTAACTGAACAAGTATTATTATATGAAGTTATAATATTATATCAGAAATATTGCAAATAAATTTTCTAAGCGCACAAGGAAACAAACTATTTCCATACTTAATTAAGAGGATGTCTGCTTACATTTTTCTTGACTGAAGATTTTTTTTTCGATGCTATTTTTGTCTGGAGTGTAGTGAAGGACCTACATTACTGTGATCACTATGTTTGGATGTCCCACATGTGATCTATTGGCTGCACTATGATTGGTTAAAGCTCTACAACTAGACTTACTTTGATCAAAATGTCCGGATGGCCCACACGTGATCTATTTGCTACACTATGATTGGCTATAACTCTACTACTAGACTTACTTTGATCAAAATATCCGGATGTCCTACATGTGATCTGTTCGCTACACTATGATTAGCATAACTCTACTACTAGACTTACTTTGATCAAAATGTTCGGATGTCCCACACATAATCTATTCACTACACTATGATTGGCTATAACTCTACTACTAGACTTTGATCAAAATGTCTGGATGTCCCACACGTGATCTATTCGCTATACTATGATTGGCTATAACTCTACTATTAGACTTACTTTGATCAAAATGTCCAAATACTCTACACATGATCTATTTACTACACTATGATGTATACAGCAATTTGCTCCGGACATTAACAAATTCTGTTAACCTAGTTTATTCAAAAGCAAAAAAGTTTAAAACAATTATTACAAAACTTTTATGAAATAATTTATTTTAAAATATTCAATTTTATTTATTGTTATCTGTTTTTAAGAATTTCGGCTATTATATAATGCTTCGTTTAGAATTTTAATCCTCATATAAAGGCTTCAATGAGATTTGACTTTAGTTAGCCTTTCGACCAAAGATTTAATTTCGGAAATGATCATCCTGGGCCGAAAATTGATAAAATCCGAAATTAAAACTATGTCCGAAAATCCAGGAGTTTCGGTCACATGTATAGTACGAACGTACGTACGTACGTCCATACATAGTTGTATTACCATACTGTGCTACTTTACTAATTACTTGTTTAGGTTATCTAAGGCGTACGTACATAATTGTAAACACTAAAACAGGAATTTGCAAAAACATACGATTAATAAAGTAATTCCCTATTTAGTGATTAAAGTTAAGCATATCTATAGTTAATGCATATGAAAGTTACGTTGATAAACTGGCCACTTTTTCCTTTATAAGCAAATGATTAATATCAGGATTATATAATGATATATTAGGAATATTAATTAAATAGTATATTAAGTATATATATTGTGTGTATTGAATAAATACCAAACAAGATCTTAAAATTGTTTCACACTTTGCTTACACGAATAATTCTTAAAAATTATGAAAAGCCTTGAGATTGAATACCCTATTATCGAAAAATCATGAAAACTCTTGGGGTTGAAATATCCAATTATCGTGTCATTAAACGTGAAGACAGCTCGATTTCAATATCATCGATTTGTAGTGAAGGCCCTTTAATTTGTAATGAATTTTGTGAAGAACCTTTATCATCTACTGAAAGTAATCCTACATCAAACAATGGATCAAGATCATCATCTACTGGATGTAATCCTACATAAAATAGTGGATCAAGGTCATCATCTACTGGATGTAATCCTACATCAACCAGTGGATCAAGGTCATCATCTGCTGGATGTAATCCTACATCAGCCAGTGGATCAAGGTCATCATCTACTGGACGTAATCCTACATCAAACGGTGAATCAAGGGCATCGTCTTCGTCAAGTATATCAAACTCTGCCGGAGATGACTCACTCATATCTATCTTATCAAACGACAGCAATAGTGATCTACTGTCCTGGGACAACTTATTTAATAGACTTTTTAAGATATTTCAGCATTCTATATTGGATATTGAAAATAATGTTCGACAGTTAGAAAGAGAATTAAAAAAACAGAAAGAGGAATTGAAAATACAAAATGGATCGATAGAGTTTTTAATGAGGCAAAATGAGTCGAAAGAGCTGTTAAAAAAACAAAATGAGAGGTTGACAATGCAATTAGTAAAGCAGAATGAAGAAATAAAAACTAACAATGAAAAATTTAAAACAGAGAATGAAGGATTGAAAACAAATAATGAAGAATTGAAAACAGAGAATGAAGAATTGAAAACAGAAAATGAAGAATTGAAAACAGAGAATGAAGAATTGAGAGCAGAGAATGAAGAATTGAAAACAAAGAATGAAGAATTGAAAACTAAGAACAAAGAATTGAAAACAGAAAATGAAGAACTGAAACCAGAGAATGAAGGATTAAAAACAGTGAACAAAGAATTGAAGAAAAAATCGAAAACGCAAAATCAAGGATTGAAAACACAAAATGAAAAATTGCAAATAAAAAATGAAAAATCGAAGAAAAATGAAAAATTAAATAATCAGAAAAAGCCGAAAGATAGACAATTGAAGGATATAAAAATTCATAAGCCAGCATATTGCTATATTGACACTAATAGGAACAAAATTCCTCAAATTTTCTCTTCTCTTATATTTATTTGAAAACTAAAAATTGTATTCGCATATATGACCTAGTGTCCAATATAGATACAGTTATTATTACTGATATACACGATTTATCGTCGTGTCTTGTAAAAAATAAATGCGCAAAAATAAAAAGAAAGTTATCAAAAAAAAACTTGAGTACACACAAGTATTAATTTCTCTGTGATAATTTTTCAATACTCTAATAACTTTATGATTACTTCGTTTAATAATACGAAAATTCACTTTGGGTCCATAAGAAAAGTGTGCATTATCATTTATGACTGCTGTAATATTAATAATTGATATGCAAAGTGAAAAACTCGATTAAATCACAATTGTGAAGCCTATCAATACATTTTACATCCAATTGATAACCTATAAATAAACATTTTGATATAGTAATTTCTCAATAACTAATAAATAATAGTATTTTCTCGGTCACATTGGATAAATGTACATTGAGAAAGAAACCGTAAATCAATTTTAGTTCGCGCAAAAATGCATACTGAATCATCTTGCTGGCTCTTCCAAAAGATGTGTAAAGAAATTGCACTCCTGACAATAAAATTCACGCATAATAAATTTAAGGAAATATTCTTCAATTGTCTGAAATTCAATTGTAACTGCGATAATATAAGACTGAAGCAAAGCCTTTGGAAGAGATATTTAAGAACCGCCATGTGGCATTGGGGATGTCAACTAAGTAAATCAAAACTATATATGGTACCATTTAAAAATTTTATAATTAATTTTTTGTGTAACATAAATGTAGATCTTTATTTTAATTTAGCGAATATTGCATTTTATGTAAAATACATTAATTAAAACAATTACATTAATAGTTTATTAAAAACATTCGAAGCAATTTCAGGCCCGAATTGTAATTGTACTTCTTGAAGCGGCATTTTCTTCTTATTAAGATTTCTCTTTGCCCTTATTTCATTTAATTCATCCGAATAATTTTCTTTGGGGACTTTGCTTGAAGATAAACGAAGCTTAGATTGCTTTGTTGACATTGACATATTGGGATGTGTTTTTAGGTCTAATTTGTTAAAAAGACCTTCGAGTTGCTGTTGGTTAATTATAATGAAGTAGATTCAGGTCTTGACAAAATCGTATAATTTAGAAAATTGATATATATATGAGTTATCATTAATGCAGAATTGTTCATATTCTTTAAGAAAATTATGATCATTTAATAACAATTCTTGCAATCCGAAACTGTTAGTTAATCCATTTTTTAGATCATCATCAAGCTCACTTGCATATTGCAATTCCAGATCTGTTAGTGGTTTAATCCAAGGTTTTTTTAGAACTATATGATAAAAGCTAGATGCAAAAAATCTAGCATTGTTACCACCAAGACGGCAAACAGAAAGCGGTAAATAGAGCCATGATAAAAACCATTTTTCAAAATATTCTAATGCTTTAAGAATTCCTTTCTCTAAATTATTAAAAAATGTTTCGAATTCTTCATTAGATAATATATCAAGAGCCTCTAAAAGTTCATCGGCTAAAATATTTCGAAATTCTCAGCAAGATTTTTAAGAAATTTATGTCATTCGTAAACTTTATCTGGCATTTGATGTGCTCGTCTGCCCAGAGGTAAAGTTGTCAACTGCCCATTTTGATAAATTCGTGCAATATTATCATGACCAATTACAAACTGCATTAACGGCTCATAAAAATATTTAGCAAAGTTTACTAAGCATTTAATTTGAATAAAAAGTTTTGTATCAAGAAGCCATGATTGAAAAAGAATCCAATCATTAAGATATGATTTTGGTGTATTTTTAAACTTTTTCATTTCATTAATAAACTATCGTGCAAATTCAATATGTGCTAAGCGACGATTTAGAAATTGCTTGGCTGTTTGTAACTCGTAACCCCAACATGATTGAAGTGGCAATTGATATTAGTTGTAATGGTATCCAAGCAAGCTATCATACAAATCAGTAATTACTTGTGAATTTATATTGAGTAGTTTGTCTTTGT